CTCTTGCTTACTAGGCAAGTGCTCTACCACTTGAGCCACATGCCAGTCTTTTTGCTTTTAGTTTGCTTTCCAGATAGGTCTCATGCTAACATTGCCCAGGCTGGCCTCAGGCAATCTTCCCATCTTCACCTCCTGAGTAGTTGAGATTACAGGCATGTACCACTACACCCAGTTCCTGCTCACAGTTTTCATGGTTCTACATCACCTCCTCGATCTTCTTTCCTTATCCCAGCCCCAGCCTTGAATCATCCGCCAAGGCCTCTCAGTCACCTCCTCAATCTCACTCTACTTCGAGTCTTTCCATATCCTGTGCCATGTCCTTATTGACAGATGATTGGTTACCCAAAATTTACCATTTGTCTCCACTCTTGTGGTCACTCCCCTGCCTTCAGGACAAAGCTCCAACTCCTTCATGGGACCTACAAGTTGTTCACTAATCTGTTCTCATCACCTGCCTCCTCACTCTAGCAATAACTTCTAGTCTGGACCTTCCCACAGGCCTCTCCTGCCTAGAACTTTCTTATACCTCTTCCTCTGGTTAGCTCTTACTCATCCTTCTGGTTTCAGTTTAGATATACCTAAAGAATAGTCCATAAAACTGGACATGGCAAGGAGGTACTTCTTCCCCAGTCCTGATGTCTCCCTCCTGTGGGGAACTTAGAGAATTCCAGCCTTCTTTCTGCTCCCTTAGTTACCCTGTCACAGTGGATGGTTTATGTCACTGGTGAACCCTGAGACAATCATTGAGCATGAGCAGACTTTAGAGTAAAGTCCTCTTTGGAGCTAACTCCTCTCAGAGGGCAGCATTCCAACCTCGCCAGGAGGTTAAGCTGCCTAATTCAGGAAGTCCAGTTCACAGGCCAGTTGGTTCTAATAATAATTGGGACTCATCTGTACTTTGTTTTTCAAACTGGAAAGAAGAGGTGCTTTATTTATTTTGGATCCCCTCCAAGATCAAGAACACCTATCCTAATGTGCACCGTGTTATCCCACAGTGCCATTAGCCTGTAAGCTTCTTGAGACCAAAAATCCGCAATTCTTCTTACCAGTACATAGTACATAGTAAATGATCAATGTGTTATACAAATTCGGGCCCCCAACGCACTGACCCCAGACACCAGACCCATCTTTTTCCATGCACATTTTCTGCCCTCATACTTCACAAACTCCAAAATACCAAATCACTGGAATTTTTAGGAATAGGCCATACTCCTTAACTTCTTAATATATACTATTCTTTATGTCTAGATTACCTTTGAGGACCTATAAAATCCATCTCCTGAGTAAAAAGTCAGTTTTAAGATCCACTTCTTCCAGGAAACCTCTTCCCTTGCCTCTAGGTACACATAGTTTTGTTCCTATGTGTATTATACTACACATCACCATTTTCACAGTCTTGATGTCTGATGGTATCATTAAACTATTATTTTCAGAATTTCTGAATGTGAACCATAGTAAGAAGTTTGCTTTATATCACAACACAGTACACATTTACTTATGTTACAGATATTTCTTAAATGTTGCTCTGTGTCAGGCACTACACTAGGAATAATCAGTGAACAAGCCAATTATAATAAAAATTGTCTACAATTTTAAGTTGGATAATGAAGCACTTTTTAGGTTTTTCAGCTAAGAAAACAAAACAAAACACAATTCCAGCAGGCCTTACACTTCTCCCTACAACATTCAGTGTTATAAGACAATGAAACAATATTGACTAAACGCTAAAGGAAAAAATAAATGCAACACTGCCAAGTAAAATCATGTCACTCTTTTACCAGAACAGATGCCTGGACCTCTGTTCACCAAATGTTAACTCTAGTTATTTCTGGGTGGCCAGTTTAAGGTCATATATTACTTGTACTTTAATTAGCTGTATTGCTTAAATTAATATTGGTGAGCAATCATTTTTATAACAGATAGTAAAGCTACTACTCTTGATAAAAACAAAGGGAAAAGAATGGTGTTGTGTATCAGCTATCAAAGAATGAATCTACAAAGAACGGTAAATTTTGGAAGTTTCAGAGTAAATATACCATGAGACAAGTTCTGATAGATCCTATTTTATCCCAATCCTATTTTTCAAATCCACTTTTACTTCACTAAATTAATTTCAAGGCTAATATATTAGTTATCCATAGCTTCAAAAACATGAATGAGACTATTTCCTCATTAAAACTATGGATTATCTCCAAAGAATTAAGGTACTTAATTAGCAATTCCTGATAAACAATTGATTGTTTCCCTCAGGGGAGCCAAGAGCAATTGAGAACAGGATTTTTTTTCTGTTTTTGCATCCCCAGGACATTGCACTGGGCTGTTCAGCCCTCAATAAATGTTTACTGAATTAAATTGAGGCCTACTAGCTAAAGGCACAATTTAAAATTGCATTTCATAAATGAGTTTTCTGACAAATGAAACATTTCTCTTGGTTATTGTAATAAAATATTCAAATCAGGGGTTTTAATGGTAACAACTTGTATTTGCCCTCAAAAACATGATGTTCCCTGGAACAACCTCCCACTTCACAGATGTTAACACTTTGCTTCTCCCAGGAACAAACTCCAACCTCCACATATGAAGGAGACACATCAGCAAGTACCTCTCTCCACTCACAACCCCAATCCTTAAAATTTACCTTTGTCTTAAGCAAAAGAACTTCAAAATTGTCCAATTATAATAAATTTGTAAATAAGTTCTCTTCCTCCCTGTCAAAATATATTGTCTAATACTGTCAGAAGAATGAGATATAGTCTGTGTAAACTTATTACTGCATTCCTAATGATTTGTGTTAAAACAAAGAAAACACAACAAAAACTCAAACTTTTCTACCTCACAGAGCTATTGTAGATTTCCAATGAGACAGTTCTTAGAGAAGGAATCAGAAAATACATGGGGCTTTTTTCCCTCTTACCATTTTTGTTTTATTTTTTAATAATGCTCTGTAACCTTCTCTTTAAAAGAGAAATAGTATCAACAAAATCCTGTAGCCATGAACAAATTTTACTTTTTAAAGTATATTTCTCAGCTGAGTGCCAGTGACTCACTTCTGTAATTCTAGCTTGGGAGGCTGAGATCAGGAGGATGGCAGTTTGAGGACAACCTGGGCAAACAGTTCACAAGACTCCATCTCCAAAATAACTAGAGCAAAATGTGCTGGAGGTGTGGCTCAAGTGGTAGAGCACTTGCTTTACAAGTGTGATGCCCTGAGTTCAAGTCCAGCCCCATCAATAAAATAAAGTTCTCTGACTTAAGAGAATCACCAGTCATTCTGTGTTCCCTTGGAACTAATGCTACTCAAACTTTCCTAAAGAATACACCATGGTTGCCCACTCTATCAAAAAGGGAAAAAAAAGTTTTTAACAGGTGGTAGATTAACTTTTCTAACTGGCTAAAGAAATTTATTTTTAATTTAATTTGTTTAAGATTTTTAAATTTAGTTGGGGTATAGGGATGGCTTTGGGTATTACTTTTGGTTTTGGGTTGTTTTTTTTCCTGTACTGAGGTTCAAACTCAGGGCCTCACCCTTGCTAGGCAGGCATTCTACCCCTTGAGCCACTCTACCAGCCCTTTTTAAAAATTTTGTTTTCCTCCCTAGTTTTCTTCACTTGCATGTTTTATTTCTATTACAGGTCCGGGGGAGAAATGCTGACAAAAGAGAAGTATGGGGGACATACAGATGGAAGCCATCATGACATGCTCCTCTTTCAGCTTTACTTCTGGGAAGAGGAGTCAATAGGCAGCCTAGCTTTTGAATTTTTTTTTTTTTTCCTTTTCTTATTCTTAATCAGTACTGGAGTTTGAACTGAGGACCTCTGGTTGCCTGGCAGGCACTCTACAACTTGACCCAAGCCTCCAGCCCTTTTTGCTTTAGTTATTTTTCCAATATCATCTCTGGGATAGCGTCACACATCTTTTCCCTGGTGGCTTCTACAGAGATCCTCCAACCAAAAGCCCCCTGAGTAGCCATCACATCCAACTTACTTGTTGAGAAGAGATCTTGCTAAATTTTTGCCAGGGCTGGCCTTGAACAGATTCCCTCATCCCCATCTGGTATCCACCTCACCAGCAGCTGGACAGGTATGAGCCACTTATGCCCATACCTGGCATGCCCAGCCAGGTATGCCCAGCCTTAGTTTCATTTTCTTGTCTCTTTTATGTGGATTTCTTTTTTAAAAATTCGTTATACAAAATGGAGTCATTCAATGTCTCATCCCACTAAAAGAGTTGAGGGGCAGTGTGAATGAAAGGAAAACGCTGCTGGAGATGTCTGCTCTGGGAACTGTCTCACAGAACCAACCCAAGGAAACAACTACCTTATCTTTAAGCGGGTATTTTTCTGACCAACCAACTACAGAACAGCAAGCTATGACCTTAGGGCTAGTTTGCTGCCAATCAGAGCTTGCCAACAGCGACACTTTGGGAAAGTTCCAATGAACTTTCTTCCAAAATAACCTTGGTAGATTTCTCCATCCTAACAAAACCCTTGTTCCCTGAACATACCAAAGGTCACCCAGCCTGTCACTTCTGTTTGGATCGCAATCCTATTCTTTGCTTATTTCCAAAATAACTTTCCTTTAAGATTCGTCTGTATCTATATTTTAAATTTGACAGTTTGTAATAACTATTAATTGCACAACTAACACATAAATGTTTCTTTCTCATTTAAAAAAAAGAGTTCAGATAAGGTAGTTTTCCCTCTGGGAGCCACCTCCCCCAACCCGGACGGGAGCCAGCAGTGCATATTGTATCCTTCCTTGCCTTCCTACCGAGGTGCACCACTTTGAAACTTGCAGGAGTGCAAAGACTTCGAAAACCACGTGCCTGCCTGCCCACTGACACACAGCAGACCTGCATCTATCTGATAGGGACTATGAAGCCGGCCCGGTTCCTCTGGCCTGGGACCACGACCTTCACCCTCCGGACTCCCGAAGACAACCTGTCGCGTCCCGCCGTCCTGGTCGGAGGCGCAGCCCTTAGCCCCTTGGGCGCCGCCTTACCCGCTGCGGGCCGAGGCCCCAGGGTAGCCGGGTCACCCGAGCACCGCACAGCCGGCCCAGCAACGCCATGGCGCCTGCACACCAGGGCTGGAGGCTGCAGGACCAGGACCGGCGGGGGACGGGCCGGGGTACAGGGTTCCGGGGCGGGCCCAGCCACCCCCGGCTCCGCCCAGGCACCCTCTGGCTTCGGGCGCTTATTCTCAGCGCGGGAGGCCTGGTGATGGTGGGGCGGGGAGTGGCAGTCTCGGAGTCCTTGTTGGTGGACTGGTTCCACCACTCCAGGTTTGCACATTGCAGAAACTCGCGTCACACACACACACACACACACACACACACACACAATCACACACACACACACACACACACACACACACACACACACACACACACACAATCACCCACCGAGGGCTAGTACCTTTTTCCGTAACTCTTACGTTTATTTTTTAAGTGCGTGCTTAAGTTCCTGATCGAGGTGGCGCTGCGTCACAAATAACCAGAATAATACCTCCGATTTAAAACATGATCTCACTTCCCAAGGCAAAGCAGCCCTCGGGGACCTTGAGATTTCGCAGGACACACCGCCGCCTGTCGCCGAAATGCAGCATGACGTCGAAGGTCCAGCCTTTGCTTTCTTCAAGGAACTACCACACACCTAAAAAGCAAGCAGAGCATGTGTGCGCGTGTGTGTCTTGTATATATATTTTTAAAGATAAGTAAGCCTCATGAGCTTTGCGACCCAATAATGTCTTTATCAAGGACCTGAAAGCCATCCCTTTGAAACGTAATCATCAAGGAGGAGCCTAATGTCTCCATGGCTCCAAGTTGCAAACCAGCCTCCTTCATAAAGATATGAGAAATTTATTTTTCCTTTGAATCAAATCAATTAGCTACCACAGATGGCCACCCCAATTACAAAGTGAATTTAGAATGAATTATGTGTAACAACTATGTTATTGTTAAATCTTCCTTCTTCTTCTTCTTCTTCTCCCTCTTCCATCTCTTCCTCTTTTTCCTCCTCCTCCTTCTTCATTTTCTTGAGACAGGGTCTCACTCTTTAGTCCCCAGATTGGCCTGGAACTCACAATCTTCCCGCCTCAGGCTCCTAACTGCTAGTATGACAGGCATATGCCATCAGGTTCAGTTTTCAAGTTCTGCTACTTATCATAAGAACATACATGAAGATGTTGTATCTGCTAGGCTACAGAAAGCTGAGCTTTTTCTGACTTTGCATTCTCTTCTGCAGGTTGCCTGTGATTGTTGCTCAATACTTATTCAATAATAAAACTACCTTTGTGGAAAGGCTCTCTGGATTGATACAGATTTTTTTAAAAATTATATTGCCCCAATGCCACTGAGCTTAGGGCAAATTCTTTGATGTCCAGTCCTAAGTTGTGTAATTACTGCAGTTTGGACTGCTGGAGTAATACAGAACTATGTCTTCCAGAAATGGTCAGAGGGTTGCTCAGCACTGTCTTAGAGAAAGAATAAAGTGACTGAGGAATTCCTTGACTGGTGTCTATCTCCTTAAGGCCCATCTGAAAGAGAGCATTATGCTACTTCTTGTAGGTAATACCAGATATGTGACCATTGGCATCCTTAAAGGTACGAGTCTAAGCCTGAGAAAAGCAAGTTAAAGTTGATTTTTCAACTTCTGGTTTTTGACCCAGCATTCATCTCCTGGGCTGCACATCCCAGGGGGTTCCAAGGACTCTGTCAAGTCTGGGACTAAAGGGAGCCAGAGAGATACACTGAAAATCAGACAACCTTATTATTTTCTTGTCATGATTCTGCTACAAATTGGCTTTCAGATAAGAGGCAAATAAACTTTTATCAGCCTTATTTTCCTCATGATTAGAGGCAATGGTGTAAATTATTTCTAAGATCTCTTGTAGTGTTAAAAAAATCTGTGGTTTCTATAGATAAGCTAGACTTTATACCAATATTATAGGTTAACTAATGTATTAAGGAGATCATTTTAAAATGCTGTTAAGATAAAATAATAGACATGTCTTAGATATCTCCAGTGTTTGAGTACTTCATCTAATTTTTAGTTATCCATTGTGTCATCTTGAAACAATTAAATCTTAGCTCTCTTAAACCTATACATTAGCCAACCCTTAGTTAGATCTTTATAACAAGATTAATGGAATTTAGAGACAAGATAGTCTTCTAAGTGTTCATAGGGTAAGGGAATCAGAGAGAGGAATTGAAGATAAGTAAAAGAAAAGAAAATTGATAAAGCAAAATCCTAGGGGAAATAAGATGAGTTTAACCACAAACAGAAGACTCAGTCCTAAACTAAAAAACCAAACTATATTATAAAGCCAGAGATAAGAACAAGAATAAGACATGGGTATAGATTTTTTTTTAAAAGAAGTTTGTCTTATTATAGAGACAGATGCAGAGTAGGAGCAGAAATCATAAGGAAATTCTTGGCATTGATGTCCTTAATAAGATATGATACGATATTCTTAAAAGTCAGACAAAGGATAATCAGATTTAAGGAATTTGGCAAAGATTGCTCAGAGGGTTATAGATAATAGATTTTCTTTAAAAAGTAGGAAAAAAGTACTGATGAATTGTGGTTCCTAGTTCAACTAATTTTAGAGCTTTTGGGCTTGCATTAGCTTCATATTTTCAAAGATTCAGATTTCACCTGGAGTCTCTGCAGACAAGTTTGTTTTTTGGACTGTTATAGGAGTATATTAAGGCTTATAGATAATTGATCTGTACAGCTGAGAGTGATAGCTAAGATATCTGAAAATAAAAGTAGTTTTGAGAGTTACAGCTCAGTGAGAGAACTAAGTTGAGATAAAAGAAAAATATCAAACCATAGATCCTAGTGTTCAAGCTGGACAGGAAGAAAGATAGAAGGAGACTGACAACCTGGGCAAAAAGGAGGGAACAAGTAGCTGGAGACATGCCTGAGGCTAAATAGCAGGCATAACTGCAGTATGCATATGAGGAAGCTAGAATACCAGAAAGCTCCAGTCAGAAAGCAGGGTCATAAAGATAGAGAAGTTTCAGGAGATGTGAAAGTTCAGAGTATGGCCTTGTAAGAAAATAGTGTGTATGTGGAGAGGAAAGTCACAAGAGCTGAGAAAGGTAAAGAAATGTAAACCTAGTATGTAAAATGGGTCTTCCAGTATATTTTTCAATTACTTGAGAAAGATGGCAGGAGTTGGGTTAGAGTAAAAATTTTTTCAGATAGGTGACAGTGAATAAGGGCAAATGGTATGCATATGCCTGCAATAGGTAACAATGAGAGGAATTATGGAAGAAAAGTAGTTGTATGAAATGATCCCGACCTAGGAGAGATTTGGCAAGTGGGGCGAAGTGGAAAGTGAGTGTTCAGTGAGAAAGAGATGGTGGATATCAGTGAGTGATGGAATGGAGAAAACAATCCAGAATCTGCCAAAGGAAGATATGGTCTAGGGTGAGAGAGCCATGTTTCACTTAAGGTCAGATATAGAGAGAAGATTCTATGAAGACCCTGAAGATCTAAAAGGGTTTGTTTATAATAGAACAGAGGAGAGAGGAGATGCCAGCAGTCTGAGTAAAGCAGAGAGCATGAAGCAATAAGACCAATTTGCTAATTGATCTTAAAACATATTTACATCATGCTTCCTCTTTTCAATGTTTCTAGAAACACTTACCCACAATTCTGTTGGGTTAGAGCAGAAGGACCCCAGTCAATTGGTTTTTGACAATCAGAGTAGTGTGTTACCAAGCAAAAGATGGAAATCATGGAGCCTTGATTTTTTTTCTTTATTACTACCACTGTTGCCATTCCTCCTGGCAATCAGATAATAAATTCTGTACTAATATAACCTGGGTAGGAAGGAATTGGCCTGTTACAGTAATGACTTTACCCCAAAGGCACTACAGGACCTGCTAACATGTACTGGCAAGAATAAGGAGAGTACTTACAGGAATATATTCTCAGGATACTGAACAAAAAGCAAAAGGAAAATAAATTAGGATGAGGGAGAATTTAATGAATTGGAAGCACTCTCCAAGGAGAGAGGACTTAACATTCTGACAAGGGACCCTGAGGAACATTTTTAGCATTCTTCTATGATATTTCTTAAAAACTTAAGAAAAAGGGGCAAGCTACACTAAAAGTAGAAATGCCAGAATTGCCATGATACATGGTAGATGGGGGAGTCAAAATGTACAGAGAAGTAGACAGGTAAGGCTGGAACACCATCTCATGTGAAAGTTCTGATTCAGACATTGTTAAAGTGACAAGGAATTCTCTGTTGAGAAGAGCAACAGCATCACTGAGTAGCTCAGTGATAGTGCTTGCTCAGTGCATCATAGTTGATGATAAAAGATGCTGTTACAGAATTGAGTTCACACACAGCAGTATGGGGAATAGACTCTGCCAAAGGAAGATGAAATAACAGAGGCCAGCTAGTGGCACGTAGCCACTAGAAAGGTACAATCCTAATGAGTGGCAAGATTTGCTAGGCATCCAGAGCTTTTGTCCCAGGGAAAACATATAGTTAATAGAGTATATCATTCCTGGGTGGGGAAGAGATAAAACCTAGCCAATGAGGTATGCTCATTCGATAGAATGAAAAAAATATCATGGACACGTGGCAGAGGTTAGCAGCCCACAAATGTCGGTCACTCAAGCTCGTGACTTGAACCAGTTTACCAATACAGAACCCACTGGCTGAAAGACAGGCAGGGGTAGCCAGGAGGGAGAACCCTGCAACAACAAAATGAGAATAAAGACTTCTAATACCCCCCTTTATTCCCCAATGGGATCTATAGTCATTCATTTGGGAATCATGCAATAAGGAAAAAAAGGACACAAATATTTTAAGGTTGGTTATACATGATCATTATTGATTCTGTGTTAGTCAGCTTTGTATCACCATAATAAACTATTACAATGTCATCACTATAATGACACAGAGTATTTATGCAATACAGATTTATTTTGACTCTCAGTTCTTGAGGTTCGAGTCCAAGATCGAGTGTCTGCATAGTTGTGGCTCTGACAATTGAGGCACATCATGGTGAAAACATGTGTTTCAGTGAGTGCTCACAACTTGAGTCAGGAGAAAGAAACAGAAACAAGAGACTCCCACAATCCCTTTCAAGAGCATGTCCCAAATAACATAAGGAAC